TTTGAAATCCTTTCAAAGCTACAGAAAGTTTCCATTACGCCCAAAGCCTCCCATTATAGTTCTTCTGAAAACTGTCTTCATCTGAAAGGATTGTGGGAAGGTCTATGTCAGTCATTATTGTCTCCCAATGATGACCATAACTTTTTCCAAAGTACCACTTATTACAACTGGCCAATCGCATTTAGCAAATTTCGAGAGTAACCGGTGAAATCGAAAGGCAGAATTGTCTGGCGATTTAGAGGAAAAAAAAAGGCTTTGTTTTGTTTTGGTTTCATTTTCCATTTGCTTCAAATGGTCTTTTCTCTTTCTTTAGCCTCATTTAGTTACTTTCTTCTTCGTTTTTTTTTTTCTTCTTTGTCTTTTTTTACTTCAACTTTTTAATTTCCCTTCTATTTTTCCTACTACAACTTTTCTCGTTCTTTCCGTTTTCCGCCATTACTTCATTAGATATTATGGCTTCTCATTTTCCTGTTTCCTGTTTTATCTTCTTCCTATCTTTGCAATTTTTTTAATTACATATTCACCTCTTCCTTCTCCTTTCTCTTTCATTACAGCCTCTTCCTTTCTGTTTATTTACTTCTTCTTCTTCCTCCTCCTCTTCTTCTTCTTCTTCTTCTTCTTTATCATCTTAAAATTACGACCAGCTTTGATATTTTTTCTTATCTTTCTTCTTCTTCTTTTTTATCATCGTCATCATCTTCTTCATCGTCATCATCACCATCATCTTATTGTTATTATTCTATTGCTACTACTCCTACTATTACTACTACTTCTCCTTTCTCCTTCAGATCTTTCTTCATTCTCTTTCCCACGCTTTCTTTTAGTCCTCCTCCTTTCTTCATTTCTTCTTCTAATTTCCTTCCCCTCATTTGCTCACTCTTCTTCTTCTTCTTCTTCTTCTTCTTCTTCTTCTTCTTTGTCTTCTGCTTATTCTTCTTCTTCGTCGTCGTCGTCGTCCTCGTCTTCTTCTTCTTCTTCTTCTTCTTCTTCTTCTTCTTCACCTGCCTGTCTTCATCTTCTTTTTCTTCGTCGTTACCTTCTTCCCCTTCGTCTTCTTCTTCTCCTTATTTTCCTTCGTCTTCTTCTCTTTCTTCCTCCTCCTCTTTTTCTCCTCCTCCTTCTTCTTTGTCTTCGTCTTCTGTTTCTGCGTCTTCTCCTTCTTCCCCTTCTTCTTCTCCTTATTTTTCTTCGTCTTCTTCTTCTCTTCTCTTTCTTCTTCTTCTTCTTCTTCTTCTTCTTCTTCTTCTTCTTCTTCTTCTTCTCCTTCACCTGCCTGTCTTCATCTTCTTTTTCTTCGTCGTTACTTTCTTCCCCTTCGTCTTCTTCTTCTCCTTATTTTCCTTCGTCTTCTTCTCTTTCTTCCTCCTCCTCTTTTTCTCCTCCTCCTTCTTCTTTGTCTTCGTCTTCTGTTTCTGCGTCTTCTCCTTCTTCCCCTTCTTCTCCTTATTTTTCTTCGTCTTCTTCTCTTCTCTTTCTTCCTTCTCCTTCTTCTTCTTCTCCTTCCTCTTCTTCTATTTCTTCGACTTCTTTTTCTGCATCTTCTTCTTATTTTCTTTGTCTTCTTCTTCTCCTTCTCTTTCTTCCTTTCTTCTTCTCATTCTCCTTCTTCCTTCTCCTTCTTCTTCTTCTGCTTCTCGTTTCACTCTGCCATCTTTTTTCCTCTGATTTTGTCTTCGTCCTCTTTTAGCTCTCTGCCGAAAATCTTCAAATACAGGTTTCGAATCAGACAGAAAATAATGCCATATATTCCAAAGGTCAAAATTAGAGAAGTTCTTACAGAAAACCACACCCACTCGTCGTGCCTTCGCAACTTATAAGTTTATAATTACTTTTAAATTATCTGATTTCCGAACCAAAAAAAAGATTCAGGCCAAAAATTTCGGTAGTCTTCGTAAAAACAAAAGTTGTCCGCAGATTGCCACCCAACTTGCATCATAGATTATACGTTGATAAAAAATGAGGTAGATTTCTGAAACGTGGTGTTTTTACTTTTGCATATTAATTCCTTAGGACTGCTTTGATAGTCTTGGCTGCTCTTATCAATATATTTCAACCGATGTATTCTCCGGCCTTCTTAATTTTTATAATTAGCGCTTTTAGATATTCTTACTAATTTATAGTTGGACTATCAGAGCAATTTCAGCGTTTCTGTTTTCTATATCAAAATATTTCAACCTAGACCCTTGTGCTAATTGATTGGAACAAAACGAATAATGCAAATATAATTTATTCTTTTGTTCGTATTTTTCTAATGAAACATGACCCAGTACACATGTTAGTATGTGGTATGTCCATTCTAAGAATTTATTCGTTGCAGATTAACCACAGATTCTCGAATGGATTTAAATCAGGAGAGCTTCCGGGCCAGTCTATAGTACTTTGATTTGTTCACTTGTAAGGCTTGTTCGTAAAGCGTTACAATTTTCGTACGCTTCCTTAAAGTAACGTCCATCGCAGACAATAGCCGTAGGACAACTAATCGACAGTCGAGACATTAGTGCCTAGCTGTGATATATATATATAGAATACGTGGATTTAACACATCACAAGAAATATTTAAATAAAATTCTCACTTAAAAATTTTTAAAAACTTAGCGTTGCGTCTTTGCACGTTCCGAGATCTTACAACCGTCAATAATAGCAGATATTCAAAAAAGATCTTTCGGTCGACATACAGATATATCGTCTCAAGTTTTTGATTTCATAAGAAAAAAAAACACATTCCTGATGATGGATGGAAGACCGTCCGTAAGTACTAGCATTTTAACATCGAATAAACTGAAAAACTACAGACAACAAGTTTTTCTTCAAGGATCAAAAGTCGCACTATGGATGAACAGGATTTTAATGCATATATTATGTTTTCTAGTGACGGATGTCGCCAATAATCGCATTGATACTTCTGATTAATTCTATGTGTTATTAATTCTTGTATATATATATATATATATATATATATTAAGATATATATACGCTTGTGCAAATTAATTGAAGGAAAATGAATAATTCCGTTATTATTTACTATGTTTTCCAATGAGACATGACCATATGCACATGTTAGTACATCGTGTGTCCATTTCACAAAGTTGTTTCTTGCAGATTGACCACAGATTCTCGATTGGATTTAAATCAGAAGAGCTTCCGGGCCAGTCTATAGTAATCTGATTTGCTCACTGGTAAGGTTTGTCAGTGTGTTCGGGCAGGGATACAAATTTCGTACGCTCTCTTGGAGTAACGTCCATCGCAAAAATAGCTGTAGGACAACTAATCGACAGTTGAGACAATAGTGTCTGAGCGTGATGAAAATCTGATGCAATCACGGATGACGCAATATATTTCAAGGCCAAACAATTTCATCATACACCGTGAAAACAGATTCATATTACTAGCCAGCTAATCTGAGATAAAAATAGAAATCGATTACACACTGTCACTCAAGTGGGGCTAAATCTGACCGTACTGTACAAGAAAGGATCCTAAAGCGGTTGTTTCAAATAATTAGCACAAGGTTATGTGTATTCTCCGGCCTTAAATTAGTGGTATCTGATATTCTATTTTATGTTTAGTCTATCAGATCAAATTCCACGTTTCTGCTTCTTCTACCAAAATATTTCAACCATTTGTATTCTCCGGCCTTCTTTCTACTTGTATTACTGCAATCAGTAGTTCCCAGTGACAGACAATGATTCCTTCCGACAATTTTTCCCGCCTTTTTTGCCCTCATCACAATATTTCAACCGATGTATTCTCCGGCCTTCTTTCTACTTGTATTACTGCAATCAGTAGTTCGCAATGCCAGACATTGATTCCTTCCGACAATTTTTCCCGCCTTTTTTGCCCTCATCACAATATTTCAACCGATGTATTCTCCGGCCTTCTTTCTACTTGTATTACTGCAATCAGTAGTTCCCAATGACAGACAATGATTCCTTCCGACAATTTTTCCCGCCTTTTTGCCCTCATCACAATATTTCAACCGATGTATTCTCCGGCCTTCTTTCTACTTGTATTACTGCAATCAGTAGTTCCCAATGACAGACAATGATTCCTTCCGACAATTTTCCCCGCCTTTTTTGCCCTCATCACAATATTTCAACCGATGTATTCTCCGGCCTTCTTTCTACTTGTATTACTGCAATCAGTAGTTCCCAATGACAGACAATGATTCCTTCCGACAATTTTTCCCGCCTTTTTTGCCCTCATCACAATATTTCAACCGATGTATTCTCCGGCCTTCTTTCTACTTGTATTACTGCAATCAGTAGTTCCCAGTGACAGACAATGATTCCTTCCGACAATTTTTCCCGCCTTTTTTGCCCTCATCACAATATTTCAACCGAGGTAATCTCCAGCCTTCTTTCTGCCTAAATCTTTGTAAACTTACTACCGCACACTGTCTTCCGTGCTATATTTCTACACGATATTATGCTTGCACCACATACCAGCCGATCTACTCTCAGGCTTACTCTCTATCTAATTAAAGAAAAATGGGTATTGTTATTACTATGTATTGATTTATACAGCCCCAAATTCTTGTCGCTGTTGAAGATGATTCATAAGAATCAATTTATAAATTTCGTAGAATCATTCTAAGAGAGTATATATCAAAAGAATAGCAATGCTAGAAGCATGAAACAGTTAATAAAGCCATTGGAAAAATTGTTGCCAATCGGAGTTGACCTCAGTGTCCATTTTCATATTTAGACTCTCATCCCTGATCACTTTCATCCATAAATATTGAATGCTTTAAATCGAAATTTGTATCATATATATATATATATATATATATATATATATATATATATAATAATAATAATAATAATAATAAAAAATATAAAATCACCTCATATGGGGAAGAGTCTATTTCGGCAAATAAAGGTATCGGTCGTCTATCTTATCAACCCCGATGTTGTAGATCAATTTTAATATTTTATATAGCAACGGATCTGTTACCTTTATTATATATATATATCTGTGTGTGTGTGTGTGTGTGTGTGTGT